GCTCCAACAGGACCAGCGCTAGCACCTCCAGCACCAGCACCAACAGCTCCAGCAGGACCAGCGCTAGCACCTCGAGCTCCAGGGTCTCTAGCTCCAGGGTCTCCAGCTCCAGTGCTTGCAGCACCTCTAGCTCCAGCAGCTCTAGCACCTCCAGGAGCAGCAACTCCATAGCCTCCAGCACCTCCAGCAGCTCCAGTAGCTCCAGTACCTCCGGGACCAGCAGCTCCAGTAGTTCCAGTACCTCCGGGAGCAGCAACTCCAGAGCCTCCAGCAACTCCAGTAGCTCCAGCACCTCCAGCTCCAGCTCCCCCACTAGCTCCGCCAGCTCCAGTACCTCCAGTACGAGCACCTCCAAAAACCAATCGCTCCAGCAGCGCCACGACGAAGGCGGGTGCGCTGAGCAAACCACTCGCGAAGCTGCTGTGGGGAGAGAGGCTCCCGCCGGGACGAGGCACCCGGAGGAACTCCAGTACCTCCGACACCTCCAACTCCAGGGCCTCCAGCAGCAGCACCCTCAGAACCGGCACCTCCAAATCCAGGGCCTCCAGCCCCAGGACCTCCAGCAACAGCACCCCCAGAACCGGCACCTCCAGCTCCAGGGTCTCCAGCTCCAGGGTCGACATCACCAGCTCCAGGGCCTCCATCCCCAGTACCTCCAGCAGCAGCACCCCAGAACCGGCACCTCCAGCTCCAGGATCGACAGCACTAGCTCCAGGGCCTTCAGCCCCAGTACCTCTAGCAGCAGCACCCCAAGAACCGGCACCTCCAACTCCAGGGTCGACAGCACTAGCTCCAGGGCCTCCAGCCCCAGTACCTCCAGCAGCAGCACCCCGAGAACCGACACCTCCAGCTCCAGCGGCACCACTAGTCCTAGCAGCTCCAGTACCTCCAGTACGAGCACCTCCAGAACCAAAAACACCAGCACTCCCAGTGCTGCCACGACGAGCAGCTCCAGCAGCTCCAACCGCAGCACCTCGAGCTCCAGTACCTCCAGCAGAAGGACGTCCAGCTGCAGCAGCACGACTCCGCAGACAGGTACGCCATGCAAGCCACCCGCGTAGCTGCTGTGGTGAGAGCGGCCCCCGTCGGGAGGAGAGCACCGGAGGAACGGCAGCAGACGCAGCACCCCCCGACCCGGCACCCTCCGGCTCAGCACCCCCAGACTCCGCACGCGTAGGCTCTGCACCCCCAGGCTCCGTACCTCCCAGTACCCCACGAACAGGCTCAGCACCCCAAAGCTCAGCACCCCTAGGCTCCGCACCCCCACGCTCCGCACCCCCCAGCACCGCACGCACAAGCTCAGCACCCCAAAAACGCAGCACCCCGAGCAGCACCACCCACAGCAGCACCTGAGTCGCTAGTGACCTCTACAGGCTCAGCCAAGGGGAGTGGGTCTACCTGAGAAACACCTGAAGGAGCAGGAACCTGAGGGGGAAGGGGGGCCTGGAGCAAGGAAAAGCGGCGGGGGAGGCAAAGGGGCAAAGCGGTAGGGGAAGAGATGGTAGAAAGGGACGGACTCGTCAAAGGTGATGTCCTGAGAGGACAGAACACGACGCGAGGTGGGGTGGTAAAACTGCCAGCCAGACGTGTTAGGGGGGAAGCCGAGGAAGACACAGGGAATGGTGCGGGAGGAGAGCTTGTCCGCAGACGTATCGCGGACAAGGGCACGAACACCCCAGACCCGGAACACTGGCGCATCGCCAACCTCTCCCGTCCAACGCAGTGTGGGTGAGGTCTCCGGCAAGGAGACACGGGGCCAGAGGTTGAGCTACTGCGCGGCGTACCGGACCACAAACGGCCACAGAAAATGGGGAGCCGCCGCATGGATCAAGGAGGTACGAGCGACCTCCATGACCAAGCCAATGCGGCGCTCAGCAACCCCATCTTCCTGCGTTGAGCCCGGAAGCGTGAACGACTGCTCGATGCCCTCCCCCTGACAGAAGGCCCGCAAGAGGTCCGAGGAGAACTCACCACCTCTATCAGGGTGCAGGTGCAGGACAGGAAAGTCCGTGTGGAACCGGCGGCGGAGCTGGAGACAAACTGCTCGGATCCAAGGGATCAGGACATCAGGGACCTCCCCCTTGCGGTGCAAGGGGAAGACCGTGGTGTAACGCGAGTAGTCGTCGACAACCAGCAGAAAGTACCGCTCGCCGCCCTGTCCACGAACGCAGGCTGGGCCCCACACGTCCATGTGGAGGGTCTGCAGCCTCTGTCGGGGGAAACGAGGAAGAGTGAGGAGCGGCGCGCTGCCGCCCCTCGACACAAGGAAGGCAGGGTGGCGCAGGCGAGGGAGGGAGGGGAGGGAGAGACCTAGGGAGACCAGACACAAGGAAGCGACGGTGCATGCCACGTAGACGTGGCAAGGAGGGGTGACCCAGACGGTGGTGGCAGAGAAGAGTCTGGTGCGACAGGGAGCGACACTCACAAGGGGAGGCTACCAGACCTGACACAGACACCTGACCAGTAGCAGCTACCTGAGGAGGCGCAGTCGTCAATGTGTAAAGACTCGACCCTGGCCGACGGGTAAACGTGGCCAATTGGCGGCCGGTCCGGGAGCACGTACAGATCGCCACACGCTGTCCTCCAGGAATAAAGGTGGCAACCCACTGGCCCTGGAGAACTACGTTGCTCACCAAGTTCGTAGAGAACGAGGGGAGGTGGAGACCTGACAGTGAGCCAGACGGAACGGCTGGGCACGGAAGCACAGTGGTGGACCGTGCAAGAATTGGGCCCCCTAAGGGGTTAGCCAGAGAGACAGCAACAGGTGCAGTGAGCGGTGTGAGTGCAGTACTGTCACGAAGGAAACAACGGGAAGCACTTGAGTCAAGCGTGAAGGTGTGCAAGGCCTCAGCAGGCGCAGTACCTGAGAGGGCAGACTCTCTAGCACCTAAGGTAGCAGCCTCACCCGCACCTAGAGCAGCAACCTCTATACCGGGGTCGTGCTGCACACACAGGTGACAGTCACCCTCAGCACCACTAAGCAAAGCATACGCGGCAGTATGGATGGCGTCATAGTCTAAAGCATAGACATCAACGCCCGACCTAAGAAGGCTCAAGCCAGGGGGGGAGCTCAGCCTCGTCGCCAATCTCTGCGTGCCATGCGTCACTCAAATAGGCGAAGCAGCGGGACTGTGTGTGACCAGGTGTCCCACAAGTCTGACCAGCTCGACGACCTGTGCGAATGACGTACGATCAGCGACCAGGACTCGGAGACGTCCCTCACTGGTAATACCACTCACGAAGCTGGTGGGGCGTAAGGGTCGGACGCCGCTGTAGCCGCAGCTGGCCACCGCCAAAAACTCCGCACCGAACAGCTCCACAGTGACTGCTACTACGGCCGCCTCCACTTCCAATGCTGCCACCACCGCCGTCACCACTCCCGCCGCTACTACGAAGTGAATTCGTAGCGGGCCAGCAAGGAGGCGCGCCACGAGCAGGGCAGTACGGAAGGAAGGCAGTAGCACGAGGAGTAGCAGCAGCAGGAAGAGGAGCAGAGCGGCTCGGTGAGGAAAGGCTGCAGTACCTCCAGCACGCGTGGCAGCACCTCCACCAGCAGCAGCAGAAGCACGAGCAGCGGGGCGGATTAGGTCAGGTAGGGCGGCTCGGTCCGGTCTAGGCGGCACGGGCAGCAGGGCGCGCTCTGTGCAGGGCAGCAGGGCGCCACGCTTAGGGCAGCAGCGCGCGGCGCACTGGCTGCCGTAGGGCGCGACGCGCAGGCCAGCAGCGCGCGACGCGCTGGCTGTCGTAGGGCGCGACGCGCGTGCTGTCGTAGGGCGCGACGTGCAGGGCAGCAGCGCGCGACGCGCAGGCTGCCGTAGAGCGCGACGCGCAGGGCAGCAGCGGACGACGCGCGGGCTGCCGTAGGGCGCGACGCGCTGGGCAGCAGCGCGCGATGCGTGGGCTGCCGTAGGGCGCGACGCGCAGGGCAGTAGGTAGCGCGCGACGCGCGGGGCAGGGCGCTGGCGCAGGGCAGGGCGCTGGCGCAGGGCAGGGCGCTGGCGCGGCGCAGGGCGCTGGCGCAGGGCATGGCGCTGGCGCAGGGCAGGCCGCTGGCGTAGGGCAGGCCGCTGGCGCAGGGCAGGGCGCTGGTGCAGGGCAGGGCGCTGGCGCAGGGCAGGACGCTAGCGCAAGGCAGGGCGTTGGCAAGGCAGCGCGACACGGGCAGAGTAGTGGGGTAACTCGGTAACCGCAGTCGGTCGCTAAGTATGGTGGGCCCGGGAAAAAAAAAAAAAAAAAAAAAAAAAAACGGTCCTACGGACCTACTGCTCTGAAACCATGTCAGAATAGCAAGCATGAATGACTGCATTGAATGAGTTGTGGGTACATGTACGGTACTAATCCTAACATTGGTTGTACCCCATAAGGGCTACCCCACTATAGCCTACACAGAACTAGCACATATATAGTTTGACAGTGACCTCAGGTCAGAGTGAACGTAAATGACTGAGATTGATAATAGCATGCATATATCTGGGTTATATAGGAAATACAAAGGAATACGAAGCGACCTAGACTAGCCATATACTCTAAGGGGTACATTGCCTTATTACAGCGAAGTTCAAACCGTGCGGCGCGGGAACCCGTTTCAAACCTGTTCCCGCTCTATTCACTTCAAATGTTTCTGCCTGCATCGGTTTCGATCAGACGGTTACCAGTGTCGCTTCGGACTCTTCTGACTCCTCGACTTCGTACTCGGTAGAGTCGGCTGCTGTAGCAAACAGGAATGCCTTCTTATACAGTTTCATATCGTAACAGCGAAGAACTTGTTCTTTGTAAAATGCACTCCTTTCATCCCAAATCTTAGCGCTGTTATAGCATTTTATATGTCTTATTCATAAGGTATGACGATCTGTTTGTATCCAGTAACTTATACTACCCGTATATTCACTTAGCAAAGAAAACGACCACTCTCAATTGGCACAAATAAATGCTCTCATTCGCATATCCCCACAACCCAAAGCGTCCCGAACATGCACCCATCACACGAGGCGATCCCTGTA